AAAAAGGGCAAGTGCCAGCAGGGTTGTTGCTGTTCGGGAGCCACGGTAATGCCAAGTCAAATGGGAGCTGCAAGCCAGGAGTACAGCTTTGCCTCTGAGCGAGGCTTTAGCTGCATCCAGCATGAGCAGGGGGCCTGCGGCTCCTGCAAGCCCCTGTTTGCGATTTGGCAGGGGTGCCAGCCCTGCCTTTGTCTGAGCTCTGCTGGGACTGGGCTCCCTGTCCCTCCTGCGCGTGACAACAGCCCCAGCAGGGCCCTGAGCCAGGATCAGCGCTCCTCAGGGGAGCACTGGCTCAAGCCTGCACACAGGATCTTGCTCCGTGCCCTTCCCCAGGCAGGGAGGACACAGTGGCATGTCCAATATCCCTCATGGGCCTGTGTCACGGGCAGGGAGCACGGAAGAACTTGTTGGTAGGCAAGTTCTTCGATTCAAGGGGTTGCAGAGTAGCTGCGGCGCATCAGTGGGAAAGAGGGCTTAGCCTTCCTCCCAAAGGGCTTTGAATCCCGCCGGGAGGCGGGTGTAGGATTAGTTTGGCTTGGTGGCACTTCTCATAGAGCAGGCTGCATTTTCCCAGGGACACTGCAATTGAAGAGCTGCTCCTGGCTGCAAAGAAAGAACGTAACAGGGCCTGTCAAAATCCTAGAGACCACCACGTGTTAGACTCCACCAGCCAAAACAAACACAGGCCTGCAGGGACTGTTAACCAACAGGTACAGAACCACCAGGGACACGAGCTCGTCAGCTCTTGGCTTTGAGAAATCAGGCGCTTCCCACCATGTCACAGTGTCCATAGCAGCTTCTCAGCCCAGGGGTTAAAGTATAGCGGTGTCTGCCCAAATTCCAGGCTAGTGAATGAATTCTGTTGCTTGCCCAACTCTCCTGTAGCTTCAGGGGAAAGTGAGATCATTCCATTTCTTTTCCTAACTGTAGTTTCCTTTTACTATGTACTGTACCTGGCAGAAGTGTTTTGAGCATAAGCTCCGAGGGATTTGCAGGAAAGCTGTGAACGACTGAGGCCATCTTGCCACAGACATTCTGGCCAATTCCTCTGCCTCCCGTCCTTGCAGAGCCCAGCGCTTCCTGCCCGCCCTGGCTCTTCAGCTGCTCTCGTCCAAACAGGCTTTTTATCGCAGCAGCGATCCTGCAGTGCAATCCTCCCCACGCGCTCTGCTCTCTAACAGCTCGTTCCCACGGCCTCCCCTACTCACCACCACATAGATGGGAAAGGTGCTTGTTGGTTTGAAGTCTTCCAGCCGGCACAGCACAGGAAAGATCTTGTGCTTCCAGATCTCCACAGAGATCAGCTCCCCAATGAGAACAGGAATCTAGACAGGGAAGGGATGGGGGAGTGAAGTCTTTCAGAGCAGGGCTAGACACACGGGCCAGGCTGATGCCCAGCACTTCATGGCTGTTTCAGTCCTAGGGCACATGACGCAGCGACACCAAGTTTTGTGCCTTTCTTTTATAGCACGTGCTGCTACGGTGGCAAGCGAAGCAGCAGCTTGCCTCCGTGGCTATCACACGAGCAGGAGAAGCCCAGCAGGTACATCAGGCAGGGCCCAGGCACCATATCCATCTATTTCCCAATGCAACAGTCACCCTTGAAAAAGGATGCAGTTTTATTGCTGACGTTTAACTGCACAGACTTCTGAGCGGCATCAAGGAGGAAGGTAGCCTGCGAGCACGCAGCCTTTGCATCCGTCTAGCTCAGAAATCCACAGCTTTTCACCACCAGCCACTGGCCTCAGAGACCAGATGGCAGAAACACCTTCCAGGCTTACAAACAAGGCAGGGGAAAGGAGTCACTGAGGAGCTGGGCAAAACCAGGCCACCGGTACTTGCTGGTGCATCCCAGGATGTTCCAGGCCTGAGACAGCGTGGGTATAGGTCAGAGAACTGTAACTTCGAGGGGTGTGTGGGGGGACTAGGATAACACCACCAAACCCAGAGAGGAAGAGAAGACCAAGAGGTAGAAATACCACAGCTTGTCTTTTAATTTTGTTTAAAAGCGACAACGGCAAACTACCAGTGAATAACTTGGCCGGAGATATCAGCTTCTTCACCATTGGCAGTTTATTCCACAATTGCACAGCATTGCCCAAAAGACGATCCCAGCTCGAGGGCAGGGACTGGTGCAGGGGTCATTGCTGCACCCACCCAGTGCCTTGTTTAACGCAGGTCAGATCACAACATCCCTCCTGACCTTAAAATTCACGACGGTCAAAGACAAAGAAGAAACCCAGGGAAGAATATCAAGACTGCGATACCAGTAGAGCCTGGGAAGGGCAAACCACAAGTAGCCAGGATACGTTGCTCAGGTGGGAAAAGCCTGGCTCACGTGTAGCCGGGCACAGGAAAAAGCAGGGTCGTCCCCAGCAAACACCTCCTCACCAAAAGGAACGGGACTGCAGTACAACCAGACTGGGCATTAGACAGTGAGGATCAGGCTTGCCAGAGTTGGGCAGCAGGCTGAGCTTGGCCCCGGACGGTCACTGGATGCTCTCCCTAGGAGACGGGGCAGCCAGGGCTCACCTTGGCATAGCTGCCGAGCAGCTCCGTGAGGAGCTGCTCCTGGCCCGCAGAGGCGCTCAGGATGGCGTGCATGTTGAGCTTCTCCACGGACTCGTGCTGCCGAAGCCATCTACAGAGCGGCGGGCAAAGGCATCAGTGCCGGAGCCCTCCGGCCAGCTGCGGCTTTGGCGCAGGGCCCGAGAGCAACAAGCACTCCCTGCAAACCTAGGGAAACCTCCTCCCAGCCGGAGCACCTCTTCCTCCCGAATGCCCAAGAAATGCCCTAAGCCCACCAGGCACCCCAAAACCCTGCCCTGCCCCCTAACACTGTCCCCTGAGGCAGCAACTCCACTGAGGTAGCTCCAACC